TACCCATTGATACATACTTAGGTGCCTATGAGAGAGCTCTCAAAGAACAAGGAAGTGCTGATGTAGCATATGCCCGTCTTATGTTACTGGGATCAGCTGGTACTGGCAAGACATCTCTCAAGCATTCATTAATGGAAGAACCTTTCAATCCTCATACCAAAAGCACCATTGTATCTGATGTATCCTCTGTACGACCATTTGGACACAAGTGGCAAACAATGAGAGGAAACAAATGGAGAGAAACCACAGAAGAAGATGAAATTGAGGAACTTGCACATTTGTTTAAATCCATTCAATCTAAACAATCCTTTAACAATAGACCTACATTTAGTGCACAAAATTCTCATGATGAATTGATTTCTACAAGGTCTATAATTTCAATTTTGGGTATAGAGAGTAGTTTTATCCAATCAATACTAAGGAGAGTTACACCTAGTAGTAATCTATCTCTTACAACACAGAATTTTTATCAGAAGACAAAATCACTTGTTCAAGTTAGTCTTACCTTGATAACATTATAACATATTTTTATTAATCTTTAGCCATTTCTTCATATATGGGATTGTGGTGGTCAGCCAGTGTTCCTTGAGATTCTCCCAGCCTTCCTCACTCCTCGTACAATGTTTCTCCTCCTGTTTGATGCTTCAAAGGATTTCAGAGAAAGATGGCAGTCACGTCAGAATACTCCTGATGGTAAAGTGCTGTTTGGTGAGGTAGTGAATGAAAGCACAAGTCATCTAATGGCCAAATGGATGTCTACAATACACAGTCACCTCATGAAGCACAACAAAGATGATACCTCTTCTCCTAGTCTCTACTGTATTGGCACTCATGGGGACAAGCTACATTCAGAAAGCAAGAAAGAAGTAAAGGAGCAAATACAGTCCCTGTATAGGGAGAAAGAGTTCTCAGATCTTATTAAAGATGTGCTAATCATTGATAATACGACCTCAGGCAGAGGGAAAAAGGAAGACACAAGCATCAAAGAATTACGCAAAGCTATTGATGGTTTTATCAATAAGTTAGTTGTTCCAACTCCTGTCAATTGGGTTCTCTTTCGCAAAGTTTATCAAGAGCTAAGGCTGAATATCATTAGTGTATCTGATGCTATTGCCATTGGAGTAGCATGTCATATACCAGCAGCTGATGTTCCTGAAGTATTGAAATTCTACCATGAGTTGGGAGCTCTTCTTTACTATCCTCAAATAGAAGGTCTGAAGGATAAAGTCATTCTCAATCCAAAATGGTTTGTTGGTACCATTGGGAAGGTGTTCCCACTAGAAAGAGGATGGAGCAAAGATGATAGATGGTTGTTGTTTCAAAGTAAAGGTATTCTTGTTCAACCACTCTATCAAGAGGTATGGCAGTCAAGTGGTATTGATCCAGAAGAAATCATTGAACTTTTAGTTCATTTTCGTCTTGCAGCTCCAGTTCAAACCGAGCTTAGCAGATTCAAGCCGCAATATTTTCTTCCAGCAGTGCTACCAGGATACACAGGTGATCCTAATGAAGTACGACCTGGTTATAAGCTAAGAGCCTCACCTGTACACATTACATTCTCCACTGGGTATGTACCTCCTGGCTTCTTCACTCGTTTAGCAACTACTCTAGCTACTGATGCCAATGTTAAGCTCAAAGTAACACGCTCTAAAGTTGAGATAAAAAGTATCTATCGTAATCGTGTCGACTTCTTTTATGGTCATCCTTCTGATGATTTTGTTCTCACTGATATTAATGAAGCTATTCAAGTTGATGTGTTGCGATATATCCCTGAGTGTAGTCATCCTGTTCCTTTCAAAACAATTTGTCAAAAAATTATGAAATTGCTTGAGGAATGTTGTCAACAAGTAGAAGAGACTCTCACTCTTTACCATAATGGTAGCAATGCCGATCAATCAAGAAAAGTACAATATGTTTGTCAATGCAGTCCTTCCAGTGATGTCCATTACATTAATGACATTGATGCTGAGAAGCAGACATGCTCTGAGTTCTTTCAC